GATAGATGAATGGATGTTGTTGTTAGTTGCAGCTGAGTCGATTCCGACTTACGGAACCCCATGTGTGCGGAGTAGAACTGCTCCATAAGGTTTTCAATGGCTGTAACCTTTTGGAAGCAGGTCGCCAGACCTGTCTTCCGAGGTGTCTTTAGTGGGTTCGAACTGCTGCTTAACCATTTGTGCCACCCAGATAGATAGCTATAGATAGATAGCATTTCTTCAGGATGAATCTGGTCAGAGCAGCTAACTCTGCTGTGTTATCCTGACAACTTCAGCTACTCAAACCAATCTCAGCTTCCAGGGGGCACTGCTCACAAAAGCAAGAGCATGGATAAAGGGGGAAATATGTATTTTTAAAAAGTAATGTACGTCCTCTTAATTCACTTGACAAATACTTGTTGCAGGTCTAGTATGGCCTAGTACTGGGAATAGAGTGAGCTTGGGCCCTCCTCCCATGGGGCTTACAACCTGGAGCAGACAATTTAGTAGTAAACAAATGAGTAACAAATAAATTGAAATAATGTTAAGTGTTATGAAGAAAATAGAAAAGAGCAATGTGATAGAGTGTGCCACTGGTTGCAGGCAAAGGGGGTAGGGGGAGGAGATGGAGGAGCAGGAAGGCAACTCTAGAGGAGGTGCTCAAAGCAGACATGTCTGAGGTGCTGATATTGGACTAAAATCTGAATGAGAAGAAAGAGTTGGCAGTGTACTGATCCGAGCAAGCTTGGCATGTTCTAGAAGCAGAACCAATTGAGTACTAAAAGAAATGGAACACTATGGTAGAATATGTGAATAAATCGAATGTGTGTCTGTGTGTATGCATACATAACCATGGTATGTGCAGGGGAAAATAAGGAAATATAAAGTTTTAAATTATTCCCTAAAAGTGCCACAAAAATGGATGTTTCAGGTAATCTGGTAGTCTCTTAGATCTTCCACTAAATAGCAAGATCCCTGAGGGCAGGGAGCCTGTCTCATCATTCTGTGTCCCCACCTCCTAGCGTAATGCCAGGCACAGAGAGAAGATACTTAATAAATATTTGATGAATTAATGCATGAAGGAAATGAGTGAATGGCCAAGAATTAGATTGCACGTTAATATTGTCTACTTTTAGTTTGTCTTTCTGTCTCAACTTGCATTACATCTGCACCCAAATACAATCATATCCAAATGGAAGACAAATGATAAAAGATAAGAAAACAAACTGTAAGGTCTTTAATAATTGCAAGCTCCAAGAAGAGAACCTAGGGAAATTGGCATCTATTATATAATTTTTTGTGAAAGGGGAATATGTTCTAGTGTTAAAATTAATTATTTCTTGATGTATCGTTTGTTCTCGTACTTATAATTTAAAGACTAAAGCACGTGTAATTTCTTGGAAAAGAGCTCTTCGGGGTTTCAGACCATCAGGATGTAAGTAACTTTTTCAGTCTTTAGTCAGAGGGAACTTCTTAAAAGTGCAAAATACAGTCGTTTAAAGGAGAAAATAAATACATTATATCAAATCAAAATTATGATTTTTAAATCCCAAATTGCCTTCTAAATGAAAGGCAGGTCTACTTATTTTAGTGGAAAACTCTCAGAAGAAATGTTTGAGTTAAGAATCAAGTTAATGTAGCAATTCATTGATCTGTATATTTTACTGAATCTTACTCAGTGCAGACTGCACAAATAAGTAGTACGAACTGAGCAGTCACTTGTTTTGTGTAGGACCTGCAAAATGGGAATTATCATTCATGTATAACAAACGATTCGATTAAAATGTCAAATGTCATGAGACTCCCTCTATCTCTGGGAAAGTTCTTGGTACACTTAGAAAAAAATCTTTCTGTCTGAATTAATCTTTGAAACAATGACAATTAAAATGATAGCTGTCATTTGCCTGAAAACACCTGACTTAGTGAATATTTTTCTAACCAATAAATTATGCACTGTCAGAATCATAGGAAAACAAGTAACTGAGGTTTTGAACATAGTCTACAAACACAACATTCATAACTCTTGGGTGACAGACCAATTGTTCACTTCATTTATGGGCTCTTTACATAATCAGGCTCCTACAGAAGTTAAAAAGAACTTTCTGTGCTTGACATTTGGATGAGCATTTGGTAGGGGAAATCAGATTTTCTCCCTAAGCTTCTCTAATCCACATTTACAATCAAGTGCTTTGCAGATAAACTTCCAAGAAATTTGCTCTCACGTTTGCCTGCTGCGCATGGAGCTGGGACATGGTTGGGTTTGCAAGATGAAACAAATGAATGCTTATCAGTTTCCAAGCCAAGGTTTTAGTTAATGCCCTTCATGCCTTCTCAATCCCCCACCCCCGAACTGCAGTTAAAGTTCAACCATTTGGGTTTTGGGTGCAGCACAGCGAGACTATGATTGATACCATCAGGCACCAAAACTGTTCTTTGCTGCTGGGTCGGGCAGCCAGGCTAGAGGAAAGTGCTGCCAACCCTATTATGAAATCCTTGCCTGTTATGATAACTCTGAGAGCTGCCAACACAATGTAGTAGAGAAGGCAAGTTCTCATATTGTTAACTCTTTACGAATCAGGATGCCATGAATCAAAGAGAGCCCACTGGGCCTTCTACTAAGGACCCGGTCCCTACTAAGAGGCCCTTGTCTAAGTGTCTCCCAATAGAGTCTAGTGCATGGTAGCTCATTTGACCTTTAAAGACCATCTTTACTGGGTGACTGATTTTTGTAGCTCCTCCAAGGTAATATGCTCTTTACTGTAGCATATTACCAGTAAGCATCTGTTATTTCAGTGGTTCTCTCCTACTCGAGTGGCCCTTATAAATACATACAATCCATCATTCCAGCTCTCTTAGTTGAGACTGGGAGCTGTCAGGGCCACAATTAATATTGCCTCCTGCCTATCTGAGTGTATGTCCACTGTGAATGATGTATGGATACATCAGTGAGCCAACCATGAAGTCTAATAATTTAGGAAATAGTCATCAGAACACCTTTCTCTTCTGGCTTCTGCTGCAGTAAGCAGGTTTTATGAGGGAGTGAAAAAAACCAGCCCAGTCTGAGGCTCATGTGGGTTACAGCCACCAACAGGCAGGTTGCTATATGAAACCAATGGTCCTGATCACAGACAACTGCATAGCTCAGAAGAGTGATCAGTTGATTTGCTGACATCAAGCTGTATTTATACATTCTGGCCAAGAGAACCCTGTTGTCAGTAACAACAATAACAATAAAAGGAGTCAAGTGCTCCTAGAAAAGTCTTTTTTTTTTTTTTTTTTTAACCTACAGATCAGTGTTTGATGGAGCTAATGTAATCCTTAGAGCACCATCATATTGTCTCTCTGCCTATCTAGTCCCTGACTTCTGTGATTGCAGGGATCATAAGTGGTGCATCTATGCTAAGGCCTAGCACAGTCTCAGGAACTGGGTAGGCACTTAAAAATAGTTATTGCATGAATGAATGTTGAATAAAAATTCTCTGCAGTTAGGGCATCTCTAGGGGAAGTGGATAGCATTTTCTGCTCTGTGTGGTCTTGGTGGGCAAAGTAGTTTTACCCTGGAATTTCAGTAGGAGAATCAGGCACAGCATATTCTTTCTTAGTAGTTTTCATCACTCAGTTCCTCTGGATCATTTGACATTTTCATCTTTAGCTGTTCTCTTTTTCTCTACCATTCCTCAATAATGGACAAGTATTTATGGAGTCCCTGCTCTGAGCCCAGCGTCTCTGTGGGTTTCATATTTCACTATTGCCCTCCAGGTTCAGTGGTCTGTTCTATACTCTTGTGGCCTCTGTGTACAACTTTGTCTGAAGAGCTTTGACTCCTCTGTGTTGGTCATTGTTGAATTACTCATCTGTCTTTCCCTTGGACTGTCAGCTCCTTGAGGCAAGGGGATGTGTCTAACATTGTGTTTGACCCATTGTGGGCTGGAGTAGATGTATGTAGAATGAATGAATGAACAAATGAATTGAATAATGAGTGAATGAGTGAAATGATTGTATCCATGGTTTAGATCATCTTTGGACGCTTGTTTTCAGATGGTGGCTGGACATGTGAGAGCCTGTGGCACAGTGCACAAGGCTGCTATAATTAGCATGTCACTAAGACCTATCAGCTGGCCTTGGCTGCTATTGATGAGCTGCCTCCCTGATACACTTCTTATTGTCAAGTGAGGAGCTCACAAATAAAGTTAAAATGATCTTTCTAGAGCTATGGCACTAAAAATGAGATTCCTGGTTGTATAAATTGCCTACAGGCATTGAGCTTGAAATGAATTAGATCAGGCCTTGCAGTTAAATCAGAAATTTGAGTGACATTTCTATTGCAGCTCATGGTAGGGGTCTTTGCGTTCTGCAGGGCTGCTCTATGTGGTATTGCTATGACTTAAGAGGATTCAGTTCAAAGGTTTGAAGGTGAATGAAAAGTTCAGGGACCAAATAAAACAAGGGTCAGAAAATACTTCTGATGAAGTGGCTTTTAGAATACATTAGTGTACAATTCTAAAGCGGTGAGTGACATCTTTACTATACTTTTCCTCCCTCCTATTTCATGTCTGACTTCATTAGCTCTAATTTTACTTTCTCAATAACAAGAAAATAAGTTAGTATTTATATTCTGTCCTTCAGGGAGGCATCTTAAAAATGATTTAAAAGGCAAATTGAAAACCAATGCAATAGTATTCATGGGAAGGTATTATCTCATATTTTTTATTATCCTGAAGGTCAAAGATTAAGAAAGTTAAATAATTCTTAGAAAAGAGAACTTTAATATGTTGAGGAGACATCGTTTTTCCCAGGTCACTTATGCAAGTTTAAAAAAATTGTAAGAATTTGCTGATATACTTTAAGGAAAGTAATTTAAACTGTCAGCTTCAAGATAAAGTGTAAAGGTAAAACATTGTATAAATTTATAATTAAATAACATGTGAAATACATCCTGTGTTATGTGCTTAACATGGCATATGCATTTTTGGTATACCATTTTATGGCGACATGTGAATTATCTCCTTTCTCTTCCTCAGATTTTCATCACTGTGAATTGCCTGAGTACAGATTTCTCCTCCCAGAAAGGAGTGAAAGGACTTCCTTTGATGATTCAGATTGATACATACAGTTATAATAATCGTAGCAATAAACCCATTCATAGAGCTTATTGCCAGATCAAGGTCTTCTGTGACAAAGTGAGTAAAGATGACAGTTTTTCATAAAGGTATCTTTGTTATTAGATATTACTTTTAATGACATTTCCCCTTTATCACCTCCTCTTGTCTAGTAGTGTCAAAATAATCACCTTATCAATCACAGTGGGAGTGGTAATATTTTATTCTTAATTCCTATTAGCTGTCTGGATAGTTATCTGTCAACTGTAATTTTTTTAGTCAATCATTTTTACCACTGATTTAATGACTGACTGACATGATTGTGCCACGAGTCTGATTCAATTAGATGGCTGAAATAACAGATTAATAGTTTTTACTACATATGGATCCTGTTCCAGAATATGTCAAGTCACCTTTATTATTTTATGGGTTAAATGGGATCTAATTTAGGATTTTTTGGAATGGAAATAGCACCTATAAAGTAAGTAAAAATGCATTTAGAGATGGTGTAGTTTTTTAATCTTCCTAAATCCAACCATAAAAGAGGCAACACAATTAGAATGGCAAAACTTAAAATTCCATGATTAGATGATAAGATGTCCCCACAAATCCAAAATACAAGTGGGACCAAACACTGACAGTTTCCAGACCTGTGTAATATTAACATCTGTGAGGGAGAAAGTAGAAGGAAAGCAACGGGGCCACTTGATGACCAAAGAACAGGAAACCTACAAAATTGCCCAGAGGTGCTTACTGGAATGTGGGACATCTAAGAACAGCATGTGAAACTGGGGTTGGGGAATATGAGCTCTGCAGACTCCATTTTGCTCTTGAATGCAAGAGAACTGAGATTTCAAGTGGCTTGGACCTGTGAACTCTCAAAAGTCACAAACTCTTTTCCCTTTTGTCCCTAGGCTGGAACCCTGCTCTGAGGAAAAAGTCCTGGGAATAGAATCCAAACTGAGTAGGACAGGAAAAAATAGGGGTAAAAGAAAGAGAAAGTCTAGATAAAAATGAGGAAGGGAAGGGAAACAGAAGAAGCAGATTTCAGAAAATACAAGACTTTTTTTTATCACTTTGGGATCACAACAGGAGAGGGAGCATGAGAGCCATGAAGCTAGAACTCTGCTGGCCCATCCATTTCTTTTAAAAATGACCAACAGAAAAGAAAAATAGTTGAATCCCATACAATGTCTCATGAAAAAAGAGATTAAGATCAGACTGACTACTCTCTGGACAATGAATGCATGCCATAAAGACTTGTCCACAAAACAGGTGAAAATGGTAGCCCAGTTGTTCAAAATAAGTGAAAAAGAAATTAAGAAAATGGTAGACATTATGAAGATCAATATAAAATAGAATTTGAAAAACTCAGACATGAGATGGAGAATGGAATGATTTCTAAAGTGAGTTATAGAACTCAAGAAAGAATTTAGAAATAAAGTATTAAAATATTTCAGAAGTAAAGACTGCTCTAGAAGCAACACAGAGTGAATAAAAATAATGGATAATGCCTTAAGAGAAATGCAAGTTGGAAAGGTGCAAAATTTTAACAAATTAGAAGAAATAGAGGTGGGAGAGAAAATATGTTTATAGAAGAGAGGTAAAGAAGATCCAATATACATATAATTGGAATCTTTGAGGAGGAAAACTACAAAATGAAACAGAACAAATATTAAATGCAAAAAGATACACATTGGAAGGATGGACTATGTACTTGGGGAAATTAACCCCGGACAGCTAATACCAAATAATTAAGCTATTGGACTTAAAAAAGAAACCATCCTTTGAGTATCTAAGTAAAAACAAATAAATAAATATTGAATCATTTTTAAGCAAAAGAAAACTAGATTATCATCAGACTTTTCAACAGCAACACTATGTCAAAAGACAATGATATTTAAGATAATCAAGTAAAGAAAATGTGAGCCAAGGATTTTATATCCAGCCAAATTGACTTTCAAGTATACAGACTGCAGACAAACTGTTATAAACAAGCAAAAACCCAGGGAATATTACTTCTTGGTGAATCTACTAGAGAACAAACTTCAGACAATCAATGTGACTGCAGAGACATTGTCATAAGGACTGAAGATAAACATTAAATATATATTTATCTATAGATCTAATTCTAAGTGGTGGGGGAGACAGTAACAATACAGACATAGTGGCAGCAGAAAGCAGAGATGATCACTAGAGGGGAGAAGGAAAGGAAAGCACATTAACTAGAATTGTATAGGGATTAGGGACATTCAATTGGCAGTAAATATCTCAAAAATCCCAGTAGCCTTTTAGGTCATAATGATTTCAGTTAGCACCAATTGTCCAGCTGTCAAAACAGCACAGCTATCTGAGGGACAGTCAGGCAATCTCCATCATATAGCAACCGGTTAAGCCAATATAACAAGTCAGTGTATATATGAAAAACCAGTGGGTTGGAGAGCACAAGTAACTTGCCTACAATCACACAATGGAAAAGTAGAGGCACCAGAGGAAAATACAGGCCTGATCCTAAAACTCCTATCTTTAAAATGATGAATAACTTTATACATATACTACCAAAATGACAACTAACAATTTAAAACCTCAACAAAGAGTTAAGGTAGTCTTTAAAAACACAACAACAACAACAAAAATCAGTTTGTATCTTTAATTCAGCATATCAAATATTAAGAAAACGTTATTTTCAAATAGTATGCAAAATGGAATATATATATATATATTAATTTTTTAATTGTACCCTAGATGAAGGTTTACAGAACAAATAGTTTCTCATTAAACAGTTAGTACACATATTGTTTTATGACATTGGTTAACAACTCCACGACATGTCAACACTCTTGCATCTCAACCTTGGGTTACCTATTACCAGCTTTCCTGTCCCTTCCTGCCTTCTAGTCCTCGTCCCTGGGCTGTTGTGCCCCATTAGTCTCGTTTTGTTTCATGGGGCTGTCTAATCTTTGGCCGAAGGGTGAACCTCAGGAGTGACTTCATTACTGAGCTGAAAGGGTGTCTGGGGTCCATACTCTCGGGGTTTCTCCAGCCTCTGTCAGGCCAGTAAGTCTGGTCTTTTTTTGCGAGTTAGATTTTGTTCAACATTTTTCTCCAGCTCTGTCTGGGACCCTCTGTTGTGATCCCTGTCAGAGCAGTCATTGGTGGTAGCGGGGCACCATCTAGTTGTACTGGACTCAGTCAGGTGGAGGCTGTGGTAGTTGTGGTAAAACGGAATATTTTAAGTAAAAATAAGAGAGCATTTAAAATCATTACAAAGTACCTGTCTTTGAAGTCTCTTATTTAATTCCAGATATTTCAAGAGAAATTGTAGAATTCCCCTTCGTGAGTCTCCTTGGAAGTGGAGACTAAAGCTAGGAATGAGTGAAATAGGGAGGGAAGGATGGGATGGAAGGGCTGGGCAATTCATTTTCCTCTAATTCGGTAGTTGGAATTTAATGTGGGAAAGAGAGGGCTTAATGAATGCTTACATAATTATTTTTCCCAAAATGTTGGTGTAATAAATACTAAAAAACAAAGACAATTAAAAAAACATGCAGAATGAATGAAAAGTGTTATATTGTTGATCACCTATGCCCTAAAATAACAGGAGTATAAGAAGGAAGGAGGGTACATAAAATGATAAATTTTCATTTACAGTTATTTTACTTTTAAAAGGGAAAGGGTGAAAAAATATCTCCTATTTTAAACATCAAAACATCGAATTATTGCTAAATAGGGAAAAACAAACAAAAAAACTGTGGCGATGCTGGGTAAACAATTGATATTGATTCCAAGTAGCTAATGATGTAAGGTTTTTAGTGGGTTGTTCTTTATATATCCTGAACCTGAGGGTCAGATGGGGGTTAGGAAACCAATAAGGAGGAGTTGCATGGGGCAAGCAGAGTGGATTAAGTTTAGTTACTGTTAATTTGTGTAATAAACTAGATAGAAAATCTTTTGCTGTAATTTGTCGTCACATTTGCAGCTCTAATATCAAAGCCCAAGAAAAGCTCACTCCTGGGAGATTAAAAATTTTGCTTTTCAAATGGGGATGCAAATGATTAATTTTAGTTTTCCCTAAAGCAAAAGAGTTAAGAGCTATTCCATTTTGTCTTGGATTGAATTGTATTGAATTGTATCCCCCTAAAATATGTTTCAACTTGGCTAGGCCATGATTCCTGGTATTGTGTGGCTGTCCTCCATTTTGTTGTTTTATTATCCTCCATTTTGTGATGTGTTGTAAATCCTAGCCTCTATGCCTATGGTTATAGTGCCATTTGGGAGTGAGCTGTCCATTATGTTAATAAGGCAGGATTAGATCATATTAAAGAGGATTAGGTTTGTTATGTTAATGAGGCAGGATTAAGGTGGGATGCAATTCCCTTACTCAGGTCACAGCCTTGATCCCATGTAAGGGAAGTTTCCCTGGGGTGTGGCCTGCATCATTTTTTATCTTACAAGAGATAAAAGGAGAAAGAAGACAGCAGAGAGGGACCTCACTACCACCAAGAAAGAAGAGCTGGGAATGGAGCACGTCCTTTGGACCCGGGATCCCTGCACTGAGAACCTCCTAGACCCTGGGGAAGATTGATGCCAAGACACATGGAGATCTCCAAGGGATGCCCAGTGCACAGATATTGAAAGGAGACAAGGACCTTCCCCCACAGCAAACAGAAAGAGAAAGACTTCCCCTGGAGCTGGCGCCCTAAATTCTGACTTCTAGCCTCCTAAACTGTGAGAGAATAAATTTCTGTTTATTAAAGCCAGCCACTTGTGGTATTTCTGCTGTAGCAGCACTAGATAACTAAGATGCATTCCAAAACTTAAAGTTTCCCAATCACAGCCCAGAGTCTTAAAGAGATGGAATTCTGCACTATTTATATTTCTCCACTTTGATTTCTAATTAATACACCTGTGAAAGTGCGGATGAAAGATAGGCCTTTTCTAATTTTTTTGTTGTTATACCTCTACTGAAAGTCATATGTTTATGTATTTTTAAAACAAATATATATACACACACACATATATATAACAATAAATATATTGTTGTTGTTGTGGGGTGCCATTGAGTCAGTTTTGACTCATAGCGACCCCCTGTATAACAGAACAAAAAATGTTGTCTGGTCCTGTGCCAATATGTATCTCTATATATCTAGATATAAATGCATCTATCTATAGATACCTATATCTATATTTAAGTGTTTCCCTAGTCTTCAATAAAATGCAAGAGCCATATTACTGCAAACAGTAACTATATATCATGCAAAAACTGGGAAACAAAGCCACATTCTTAAAATAAATTTATGAGAAACAATGCAAGTATCTAATAAGAAACCAAGATAGCCATCATCTCTCGAAGTAGCAAATGATCACAATATAATCAGGATATCTTTAGATACATTTTTCAAATTTAACATTTTGTAGTGAACATTTAGGTTAAAAAGGAGGAAAATTATTTTCAAACGATAAATTTGGTATTTGTAGCACATTACATTCTTTTGGAGGAACTATGCTTTTTTTGCACTCTAATAAGAGTTGAAAAAATATTTTCTAGAAGCTCCAGGTCACAATCATTGGAGGGAAAGGAATTCTTGGAAGGTTATGTTCAAGGGAAGGTTTCTCCATTATAATTGAATGCATAAAAGCTCTCCTGGGTCATGGTGAAGTCAAAAACTTTATCCAAAAATGAGAACTGTAGCTCTCTCAAGAGTGTTTGGATATTGTCAGAACTGTTTTGCCATGCTAATATCTGAACGCGACAGGAAATTTCTTCCTATAATGTCACACCAATACTGTGCTTTACTCTAACATTTCAATTAATCTTTTGAGTTTGGCGTATCAAAGAATGTCTGTAAGATAATAAACAGGTGACTTTATTTCCTAAAAATCTACATTGAACATATATAAATCTTGAAACAGATTAATTCCAGACCATTGCCTCATAGAAATAGCACAAATAAAACACTAATTCAGAAATAGAATTGCTTGACAAAGGTTGGAATGTGTCTTGGATGGGTTGTAATTTATATAGAGAATGAAGATCCACATTTCTATTTATATTAAATACTATATTCTGCAGATCTCCAAACACATAGAAAAATGTCTTATATGGACCCAACCAAAAATGAATAACAGTTCCCATTATCAACTTTGATATTTTGGAGAGCCTTTTGCTTATATTGCACATCCATTTGAACAAAGTGATCTCTGTTCACTTACCATTTTATTTTCTGAAAATATTGCGTGTTATCTAGATACTTATAAAAATGCTACAAAACCTTGGTATATGTTTTATATTAGTAAAAATCAGTCTACCTTGAAGAGACTTCCAAAGCAAATATTTCTATATTTTATCTGCCTCTTGCTATGAATTTCCAAAGCAAGTACCAATGACAATTCAAAACTTAAAATGAAGTACTGTCAATAATTACTCCCTATGACGGTTAAGAAGCTTTTTTGATGTATAAATTGCATATTGAAATTATCTGGTTAAAAATACAATAAATGTTCAGATTTTACCCATGGAAAGCCCTTAGAACTCTCCTAGCATGGATTAAGTATCATGTAAATATTAGTTGTTATTATTCATCTGTCATGGATTGAATTGTGTCCCCCCAAAATATGCGTATCAGTTTGGCGAGCCACGATTCCCAGTATTATGTGGTGGTTCTCCATTATGTGATTGTTGTAATTTTCCTATTTAAATAAATAGGAATCCTAATCTCTTCATGTGGTTAATGAGGCAAGATTAGATTATGTTAAAGAGGATTAGGGTGGGATGTAATATCCTTGCTCAGGTTACATCCCTGATGCAATGTAAAGGGAGTTTGCCTGGGGTGTGGCCTGCACCACGTTTTATCTTACAAGAGATAAAAAGAAAGGGAAGTGAGCAGAGAGCTGGGGATCTCTTACCACCAAGAAAGCAGTGCCAGGAGTAGAGCGCATCCTTTGGACCTGGGGTTCCTGCACAGAGAAGCTCCTAGTCCAGGGAAAGATTGATGAAAAAAAAGGACCTTCCTCCAGAGGCAACAGAGAAAGCCTTACCCTGGAGCTGACGTCCTGAATATGGACTTTTAGCCTACTAGACTGTGAGAGAATAAACTTCTGTTTGTTAAAGCCATCCAACTATGGTATTTCTGTTATAGCAGCACTAGATAACTAAGACATTATCCTTCAAGAACTGGCTCAAAAGCCATCTCCTTTATGATATTTTTCTTGACCACAAATCTCCATTGTGTCATGTTTTGCCTCATGTTGGGCCTGAATTGGGAACCTGCTTTAAAAATAAGTTACTAATTTGATAAGCAAAAAATGTATCTCATTATTTTAATTTGAACCTCTCTCTCTCATACTATATTGTATATTACCAAAAACCTGCTGCCGTCGAGTCGAGTTTGGCTCATAGCCACCCTATAGGACAGAGTTGAATTGCCCCATAGGATTTCCAAGGAGCCTCTGGTGGATCAGAACTGCTAACCTTTTGGTTAGCGGCTGAGCTTGTAACTATTGTGCCACCGGGGCCCCATATTATATATACTATATATATTCAAATCTTAAAGTGAAGTCCTGTGTGTGTGTGTGTGTGTGTATATTTACATATGTATGTGCATATATATATGTATGTGTATATATATGTATGTCTTAGTCATCTAGTGCTGCTATAACAGAAATACCACAAGTGGATGGCTTTAACAAAGAGAAGTTTATTCTTTCACAGTCCAGTAAGCTAGAAGTCCTAAATCAGGGCACTAGCTCCAGGGGAAGGCTTTCTCTCTCTGTCAGCTCTGGAGAAAGCTCCTTGTCATCAGTCTTCCCTTGGTCTGGGAACATCTCAGTGCAGGAAGCTCAGGTCTAAAGGATGCGCTCTATTCCCAGCACTGCTTTCCTGGTGATATGAGGTCCCCCTGTCTCTCTTCTTGCTTCTCTCTTTTATATCTCAAAAAAGATTGGCTTAAGACACTATCTAATTTTGTAGATGTCATCAGTATAACTGCCACGAATTCATCTTATTACATCATAGTGATAGTATTTCCCACACATAGGGAAATCACATCATATGATAAAATGGTAGACAACCATGCAATACTGGGAATCATGACCTAGCCAAGTTGACAGATATTTTTGGGGGACACAATTCAATCCATGACAATATATGTATGTATATGTATATATATGTGTGTGTATATATGTGTATGTATGTGTGTGTGTATACCACTTCCAAGATGCCTCTGGTGGACTCGAACCTCAGCCTTTCAGTTAGCAGATAAGCACATTAATCATTTGCACCACCCAGTGTGTCTCTCTCGCTATGTACATAAACACATATATATGTACACACATATACACATATACACATATATATGTACACGCATATACATATACACATACACATATATATGTATTCACCATTTTTGTGTCTTCCTCTGTGAATTGCCTATTTCATGAACTTTATCCATTTTCTATTAGAATGTTAGTGGATTTTTAAATTCGAATCATTATTTATACATTAAGGGCTTCACTCTTTATGTGATATTTTATTGGAAATATGTCGGTTTGTCTTTTGCATTTTAATTTTGTTGGATTTCTTTTTCATACAGATGCGTTACATTTTTACATTGTCAAATCTCTCTCTGTGTGTCACTTGGGGGTAGATGTAAAGGGTTAGAAGGTTGCTGGCCAGTTTGTGTTTCCCTGTTCCTTCACTGTGCTACCACCAAGGCTAGGCACTGTAAATGCGGATCTGCAACTTCTGGGGAAGTTTAGGCTGAGGATGTGGATCTGGACATCATGTGTCTACAAAGTCATGAAAACATGTGAGCAGATGAATGCTCCTGAAGCAAGAATGGAGAGAGAGGAAGGAAAAGGAAAACCTGGTTGGAACATCTGTATTTGAAGAGGAAAACGAGATAGCAAAGCTAATATAGAGGACTCACCAAAGAGAGAAGATAAGCAGGGAATCTTCAAAGTCAAAGAAAGAAAAATACAAGACGACAGTCGATTGGTTAAGTAGGATGGGGTTTGGCAATTTGGCAAGAAATGCCGATGGAAACTTCAGATTAAAAGGAACAAAGGAGCAAAAAGGAGGCAGATATATCAAACTTTTTCTACCTGGTTGACTGAGCACCATCTCTAACCAAAAAAACCAAACCAACCCCGTTGCCGTCAGGTGGATTCCAACTCATAGAGACCCTATAGGACAGAGTAAAAGTGCCCTGTAAGGTTTCCAAGGAGCACCTGGTGGATTCCAACTGCCGAACTTTTGGTTAGCAGCTGTAGCTCTTAACCACTACGCCACCAGGGTTTCCCCATCTCTAACAGCATAGAAAAATGTTAAAACAAAAATGAAAGTCATACTTGGATGTACAAAGTGATCCTACATCTTGTCTAGTTTCCTTATGCCCGCCCTCATTTCCACCACTGTCATGATTTTTTAAAAGTTCTATAACAACAACCGAAGGAAAAAATGTGTAGGGAATCCACACTCAACTTTAATGCCACTTCATGACTAGGAAGGATGTTAACGAGTCAATGCTTCATCTTATGACATTTTATTATAATCACTAAAGTTTCTTAACTTGCTTTGCTGTGATAGGGAACTGGGTCTGGTCTTTCTGCACGGATTCAAAACTCAAGTTCTTTAAATAGGCAAGAGACCAAAAAAGGAGAAAATCTAGGAGAGGTGGGATCACTCGGAGGTCAGAAATGGAGCATAGACTAATGAGCAGTCTCTCTCAAAAAGCTTTCAGAGCCAAGCCTTGACCTCCCCAGAGGGGCGGGAAGGGGGCCGCCCAGTCTCCTTCTCCCCTGTTTTGTTTCATGTCCCTGTGACTTATGTGCTGACAGTATTTTCATGTGCTCTGATAACATGCCTGACATTGTATTTGTTTTTCACTGTCAGGGAGCAGAAAGAAAAATTCGAGATGAAGAGAGGAAGCAGAACAGGAAGAAAGGGAAAGGCCAGGCCCCCCAGACCCAGTGCAACAACTGTGAGTTTCACTGGGAATGATATTCTCCTCTAGGGTGGGGTGGGGGCGTGGGCAGTGGACTCCAGCTGGGCCGGGTCCACTGGGGGAACAGGTGGAAAGAAGTGGGTTGCAGGTAATACTACGTATGTGCAAAGGATGGCTTGCTTTTTCAGGGCAGTGGAGACTGGGCTAATTGTCCCTGTGTAAAGCAAATAGAATCACATGATCACAGAATGTTTGAACTAGGAAGGACTTTGTAATATCATGGGGACCAACATCCTCCTTGTTCAGACAAGGAAGCTAGGGTGCACAGAGGTACAGGAGGGCAAGAGGGAACCAGAGCTTCACCTCGGGACCTCTCACTTGTAATCTGGTGCTCTTTCTGTTACAGCAGTGGCAGATGGGGGCTTTTAAAGTGTGTCTATGGCATTTAGGAAGTTTCATAGGAGAAAACTGTGAACTTTAGCCAAAACTAGGGCCTCGCAGTTGAGATTTCTTAGTCATGCATAACCCTTTTGTTAATGGGCTTTGTGATCATATCTAGCCTCTGACGGGAAATTGGCCGCAATACCTTTGCAGAAGAAGAGCGACATCACCTACTTCAAAACGATGCCTGATCTGCACTCACAGCCGGTTCTCTTCATTCCTGATGTTCACTTTGCAAACCTGCAGCGAACAGGACAGGTATGACCTACCTGCTAACATCTACCTGCCACCCACCCACCCACGGGGCTGGTAGAGCCTTAAGGTAGAATCACTTCAGTCAGTGTTGACTTTGAAACTAAAGCCAGCATTCTATTCATTGGAAAAAATGTCAAGGTCATTTCCTACAGAAAATGGGTTTTTAAAGAATGAATGCCTCAGGAGCAGAGACTGACATACTAAGGGGAAGAAGAGATTGAGCTAATATTCATAAAGTGTTGACAAAGCAATGAAAGAGGAAGAAAGCAAGAAGGCTAATCACCTGTAAGGAAAGTTTGTTGTGTTTTGTTAGCATTTTCATGTGGGATTAGCCTGATATAACAGAGCTCCACCTAATGGAGGGAAATTGAGGTGCGCCTATAGCTTCATAGCCCAAACCCACTGCCCTGGAGTCAATTCCGACTCATAGAGACCCTATAGGACAGAGTAGAACTGCCCCACAGGGTTTCCTAGGCTTCCATAAATCTTTACAGAAGCAGACTGCCACATCTGTCTTCCGCAGAGCAGCTGTTGGGTTTGAACTGCCAGCCTTTCAGTTAGTAGTCGAGTGCTTTAACCATTGCACCACCAGAGCTCCTTTAGCTTCATAGAGTTGCCAAAAAAAAAATCCCAAACCCGTTACTGTCAAGTCGATTCTGACTCATAGCAACCCTGTAGGACAGAGTAGAACTGCCTCACAGCATTTTCAAGGCTGTAATCTTTACGGAAGCCGACTGCCATATCTTACTTCCAAAGAGCGGCTGGTGGGTTTGAACCGATAACCTTTCGGTTAGCAGCCAAGCACTTAACCACTGCACCACCAGGGCTCCTTTTCATAGAGTTGCACAAGAGGAAAAACACTGATTAAATCAGACCCAATCAACACTTTTTTCTCTTAGTAAATCAACAGTTTCTGTTGAATAGGTAAATAATTTCACACCAAAATAAAAATGAGTTTCTAGGAAAATATAACAATTCCCGTCTTCTAGGTGTATCTACAAGTGAAATGAAGGTGTTAATATTACAATAACATAAGTGTCCAGTGATTAACTCATTATAGTAGTTGAAGTTGATGGAATATTGTGCAACCATTAAAGTTAAAATTATAGACACCATGTAGCAACATGGAAACTAGTTATGATAACGGTCAGGGAAAGAAAAAGAAGCAGAATACCAATTTGTGTCTATACAGACAGCCCTTCGGGTTACAAATGTCCAATTTGTGCACAACCCTTTATAAGCCAGCCCCATAAAACATATTATGTTAACAATTTGAGGTATGTACAATGGTTCGTAGTAACAAATGGGCTCTACTTTTCGACACACATTAAAATATTATTATTATTACTGTATTACTATGTTAAAGATGTATTAGTGTATCTGAAAGTGCTTATTTAATGTTTTTTATGCATAGAAAGTACACTATACACTATATACTAAGACAAACATTTGACTGACTGACATTAGATACAAACCGTACCTAACTGTTCCGATTTAAGTACAGATTCAACTTGAAGATAGACTTAGGAAATGGAACTCTTTCATAATCCAGGGACTGCCTGTAATGTGATTCCAAGTGTATACCTGAATTTGAAGGGAACAAGAATCATTGTAACACTTGATGAGCAGGATTCTGAGATATGGATGATTTTTTTTCCCCTTTTGGTATTATCTTTAGTATTATTTTTTTATGTGATAAATTATGTGTGGGAAAAGAAAAATATAATCACTTTCACCAAACAAATTGAGTTTTAATAAATCTTGCATTGGTTAGTTTTCTTTTAAACCTAAATTCCTTTGAGGAAATATCTGTTTTGAGAAATAGGGATATACTGGCATACTCAAGTCTTTCTTCCATTCTAAGTGTCCAGCTACTCACCGGAATTAGCCTTAGTCTCTTGGAGGAGAAACCATTTATTAGCTTTATTTTCTCATTCTTCAGAAGATTTTGTCCCACAGTGATCGCTGTTGTGTTTCATTATATGTATGGGACGAAGCCATTGTACAAGCAGAGCTTTTTGATATTTATGACACAACATGGTAACAAAATACCCACACCATTTTCTTAGAGTGCATTTCCACTAAAAAACTAATTTAATATTCCCATCTTATCCTACTTGTTTGATACGAACAAGGACCCAAGGGAGAAGGCAAGGACTTTATGATTTTTCAAGACATGAGTGCCAGCATCTAATTTGTGTTTTTTTTTTAGTTTTAATTTCCAGGGAAGGGATGGTTGAATTGTGTATTTATAGTCTTTACCCCAAGGGATTTTATGGAGCTAAGTTTTTACACCTTCCAGAAGTGGGGCTAATTGAGTTAAACTGTGCTCATTGGTTACTGTCATGATTCTGGCTTCAACTCCGTATCAAAGCTGACAACCTGACCTGTTCTCTTGGCAAGATTTCTCTGAAATACACAAAGGTGTAAATGAATCTTAAGAGGAAAAATGACCCAACCTGGTTGCTTATGACTGTCAGCCTGTGCCCTCACTTACCCCTTTGTGTCCTGAGTTCTGAGCCTGTGGCTTAATCAGAAGGAAGAGTGCAGCCTTTACAGTTTGCTGGTTTCCACAGCTGCAAAGCAGTGCAATCAGCGTCCCCTTTGGCAATCAGGGAAGATACTGTCCTTACAGTTAAATCCTGGCTAGCTGGAGGTGGCCCTTCCAGAACCCTGAGGCTTACCCCATGCCTCAGATCCAGAGTTATGGGAGCCTGTGAGGGAGTCTGCCTTGAGCCCCAAGCAACAAAAGAACACACCCAGCTGTGCTCAAGAACAACCTGTGACTATTCTGTCGTTAATCAACTTGCATGGCCTTGCAGGGTTTGGCTGGGTCTCCTAAAAGGCTGACTTTTCTTAGAGGCCTGGGAGATCGGTCCAGAGGCAAGAGAACCTGAAAAAGAGGAGGAAAGACAGCAGTAGTCACTGTGTTGAAAGTGAGGATAGGGCAGGGATTGGCCGACTTTGATATACACAACAAGAGCCAGCAGTAGCCGGTCATAAGATGGGACATTTTTATCTGAAGGAGAAGGGAGGCTAGCGATAGTGTGCATCTCAGTAACCACTGCAGGTGTTAAGCCTTGCTAAAGTCAGCCACATAGCAGCTCTACACAACTGCAGGGCAGGTAGCCCTGTAGTTCTCAAGGTCAGTGAGACCCCCTCGAACCATGATAAGGGCACATCAGCTATGGCACAGTGATTCCAATTCACCTGAGGACGCGGTGTTTTCTGGTCAGCCTCCATTGTTTCAATTCACATGCAGATCAGAATATTCTACAGAGACTTTTGAAAAACTATTATGAGGGAATGAATGTAATGTGCAGGCACTATGGCCACCTGCTATCTCACGCTCACATTAAAGCCCTGATGTTCACCATTGCTTGTGAGGGTGCTGCCTTTAAAAGACGGGCGGCAAGGGGAGCTTGGGAAGAATGGTGGGATGTAGCAACATCCTCAGTTGGATAATGTATACTTCGCACACACAAGACTTCCTCGCGGCCCTGAGCCCAAGGAGGGCACCACTCCTCCCTCACACCCTCAAGAACATTTTCTCAAACAGTGACTTGTAAGCAGTCTTCCCCCAAAATCAAACAGAGTTCTTGATAAGAACTCAGATTCTTGAGTTTCATTCCAGGCCTTTCCAGTTAAAATCTCTGAAGCGGGGCCTAGGAAAGTGCACGCTGACAAGGTCTCCAGACACCTTTTATGCACTCCGAAGTTTGAGAAACACTGTCTAAAAATTAAGTCAGTGCAAAGAGCCAGCCACCAGCAGGGAGAAAGCAGTGGGTCATTACGTTAGAGAGGGAGAAATGACAACGCAAGGACAGTGAGAGGGACAGTGAAGTCGAAGCCATTCAGGAGGGCAGCAAACCACTTCAGAGAAGGCTGCTTCCATCTTTGGGTCACCAACAATTTTGCGGAGAGCTTTTGGTCCTACTGCCAGGTCATTAGGTCATGCTTTATGCTATATTTAAAGAAACAAGCAAAAAACAAGTCACCATCAGGAACTTATTTTAAAAAATCCAGTTGTGTGGCCATTGCTCTGGCCCACGCTCCCTCTCTTATGCAGGTCACTCCAGGTGCACCTAAATGAACTGTCCTATTTCCAGTATGTCACAGTGACAGGCTCAGGATGCCACACTGAAACTTGTGGGGAAAAAACAACATACTTTCACTGTTTTCTGTTCAAGAAGAAATAAACTATACAATTCAACAATAGACATGAAAAAATCCAAAGAGGAAAAAGTTCTAGTGGAAATCTGAGCTAATGACTAGAGTGATTCATTCCCAGAGAGTTCCAGGTAACCAGAGTTTTGTTACATAACTAGATCTAGGCTTCGCAGCATCCCAAGAGCTGCCAAGAGCCTTTGAGAAAAGTCTGTGGGGAGGTCGTAGATCTAGGCGCAGCTATTTCTCTCCCAGGTTGCAGGGGCAGGGGCAGTGACCAAATGCATTAGAATCAGAGGCTACTGTTGAAGTGAATATGCAAAAGCTTGATCCAAACTCAGGTATTGTTCTGCACCCAAATGAAAATGGTTTGAAAGCAAGCAAGACAAAAGCTCCACAATTAATTTTTAGAAATCACTGGGTCAGGAGGGCCTACATACATAGCAGATCCCTTCTGGTTTCTTCCATAGATAGCTTCATAAAAAGTAGACCAAAGTTTATTAGTGGTTACCAGGGGCAGGTGGGAGGGAGGAGAGAAAGGGGACTCATTGCTTAGGGGACACTGAGCTTCTGTTAAGGGTGGTGAGATTATTTGGAAATAGGTAATGGTGATGGTCGTACAATATGACAAACAATGTCACTGATTTGTACATGTGAAGAATGTTGAAGTGCAAATGATTTGTTGCGTTATATATATATT